TGGGTGCCATATTCTGGTGTGCTTAATGCTCACCATGTCCTAACTAGGCCACTTCCTGGTTAGTGCCCTTTCAGTTGCTTGGGAAAGGACCATCTTCATTTGATTGTCTGTGCTTATTGCCTGTGAGAAGCTGAGAGAGAGAGAGAGGGAGAGAGGGAGAGAGGGAGGGAGGGAGGGAGAGAGGGAGAGGGAGAGGGAGGGAGATATTTGTGTGCTTTTAATACTGTGTTCAAAGCTCTCCAGGCTTTCTGGAAACAGGTTTGCTGGCCATGGCCTGGTCCTTGAGCTGCCTTTTGAAAACGGCTGAGTTTAACTGTGGTGGTTTTTAAAGTGCACATTTTAGATAATAGTAGAAAGAAAAAGACAGCAAGATGAGTAATTCCATACCTTGGAGAGCATCCTAGTAGGAATATGATAATTTAGTAGAGTTTTTTTTATTTTCAGATATATAGATCAAGGCCGCAACCCTCAGCTTTACACTAAAGAGTGTCTGGAGCGAGCTTTGGCTAAAAATGAGCAAGTGAAAGGAAAAATTGACACTATGAAGGTAAACCAGAATTAATGGAAATATAATGCAATAATGTATTTGATAAGTTTTTACTTTTCTGTAAATATGTGGGTATTTTTCACTTGTGCAGTTATTAACTTCTGTTATTATGTGATTTGTCTTAGAAGTTGCTCCATCACTGTATCTTAATTCATGCTGGTATAGCCTGTTTAGGAAAGGAAACCTGTAGTTCATTCTGTAGTTGGGTGTCGCTCTATTGGGAACGGCGAGAAGAATGACACAGACTCTCTTGTGAGTTGAACAGGAGAGTTCTTTCTCTTTTCTTTCTCTTAAGGTTTATTACCTCAGATCTTCTTTTATAGACCAATATGTGAAAGTACAGAAAAGTAAAACTCTTATTGGTTAGTAAACTAACACGTCACTATCATTGGTCAGTGGTGTACACCACCCCTTGACCTTCTCTTGCAAGAAAACAAGGAACAGACAAACAGCACCTGCGAGGCTGTCTTTTATCTCTGAGGATTGTTTTAATTTTTCCTTATGATTTTCCAGGCCACTTTCTCAGGTGAGACTGAGAAAGTTATGCAGCCTGCTATTCCATAGGCACTGTGCTCCCTGCTTAGTTAGCATCTCATAGTTAGCATCCATAGTTGGGGATGCTGCTTTCACTGTGGTTTTATATTGGTTAAAGCTATGTGTAGCAGTAGAGATATTTTACTTGTTTTTTTTTACAGGTGTCCAGTTTTGTTGTGTGCAAACTTATAAGAAATAAGCAAAACAAAAGGGGTGTTTTTTCAGTCTTGAATGGATAGTAGAGGGTTAAAACATCAAATATGCTCTGTAATCATCTATTAATCTTTATAAAATTAGCAAAAATGCATCGCAGTGTTTATGAGTTTCTGAACTTGTATTTTCATTTAGTATGAACCTAAGCATTCTGTGATACTGTTTAACTCCTGGAACTACTGCAGAAAAACACAATCAGAAAGCGAATTTTAGTGAGTTCTGAGAATGTTCTTTGTTTGGCTGAACTTAGTGTGGAGGATAACAAGTTGTACTCCAGAATATAGACATGTGGAGATAATTCCTGAGCTTCTCTTTATTTTGTCTGTGCTTGTGAAATTGTGTTCTTCTAAGGCAGGTGTGAGTTGCTTTTTGAAGGTGGAGTGGATTCCATATCAAATCAAGAGGACATGTCCTTAATCATCTTTCCTTTATAAGGTCAGGCAGATATTGGTGCACCAGGGTTTACTAGAGAGGTCCAACTGCTTTGTATTTCTTAGGAGAAGATGCAAGTGAATTTCTGAGAATTCAAGGACAGTTTGGTTTGCTTGGTGCATTCTGCAAAATGTGGATTTTGCTTGGGCACTTTCTGTGGATTTTGTAAATATAACTTTCTTTGTGTGGTTTTGGGATTTTTTGGGTACTTCAGTTCACTGAGAGATGTGTTGAGTACAGACATTTCTGATCATCGGGTAACACTGCTTGATGAAATCTAAATAAATTGTCCAGATCATATATACATTTTTTTTTCTCTTTCCAGAAATTTAAAAGCCTGTTAATTCAAGAACTGACAAAGGTGTTCCCAGAAGATATGGCAAAGTACAAAGCTATTAGAGGAGAAGATCCTCCTCCTTAAGTTGGCCTTTGATAGCTCTAAAAATGTCCCATAAACTTATACAACACCTTATAAAAACATTGATTGGAGAGAGAAGGAATTCAAGCCCTCCTAACAACTGTACTAAAAATAGCAGTAGTGACTGTAAAGGAGCTTGATGGCTGTTCATGGTTCTGGTCTGAAGCTGCTGAATCTGAAGACTTCTACTCAGTGATTGTGGTTGAAACTTCCTATGGTACACTTCTTTCCTGAAGGGTTTGAGAAATGTAATTTCCTACAGGTCATCAGTGCAGAGCATTTCCCACAAAGCCCATTTGCATAGCAGAAAAACATGTTTTACTTGTCTTCTGGAAAGTGTGCCTCAGGATTGTGGGCTCATCTGTTTTTTTAAGAGAAATGCATTTATTATACTTGATTGTTTTTCATTTGTAAACGTCAGGGGTTCTTTACTGCAGTGTGAACATCTGACTGCTTTTGTTTTGCCAAATTCTACTGAGCAGGAGCCTGTCAAGGGCTGCACTTCTCATGTGTCATAATTAGTTGCAGCCAGGAAAACCTTCAGATCTTGTTTTGTTCTGGGAGCTGCAGTGCAGATGGCTGAGGATACAAAAAGTGAGCATACCTGGGGACTAGCTCCTCTACAACTTTAATATTTTGTACAGTATTTAATGTAAGCTTTTGTTTATTCATTTTCTGCAAGCAGGTTGTTGAATAAAAATTTGAAAAAATGTAAATCCTGATGTTTCTCTTTTGTATGTTTCTCTTTGGAGTGTGAACTGAAAACTGTGAAAAAATAGCATATTCCTCGGTTCCACACTGATAGAATCTGATACACTAATGTGTATCAAAACTTGTCTCTTAAAATTTTACATCTGAAGGTGGAGTCAGCTTGGTATTTTGGTTTTATGATTTTTTAGTACCTGAAATGGGAGATTTTGGGCATCAGCAATTGTTACGTGAAGTCCTGGTTAACTGTGAGTTCATCTGTGGGATCTGTATCTGTTCATACGTAAGGGAGCCCCAGTATGGAACTGAATGGGGCTCCTCACCCAGCGGTTGGAGTTTTGTGGGAGAGATAGATTGGGTTTGCAGTGGGAGCAAGAGAAACCCTTTTAGTCTTGGGTGTTTGTGAAGCTAGAGCCCTTTGTGCTTATATTTGTTCTCACAGATCTATCTTGACTATTTGCATCAGCAAATTATTTTATTACTTTTAACTTTCTTCTGCTTGCTAAATGGAGTGGGTTTGGGTAGGAGCTCCAAAATAACACTATATGCAGCTATTCCATAGCAGGCCTGCCTAGTCTGCTAAAGACTTAACATTGATTTAGACATGTTTGGAGTTACTGGTGGCATAGTTTGCACATCTGAAGCACTCTGTGTTCAGTTACCTGCCTGAAGCAGAGCCCATCCATGATGCCAAGTACCACCAAACTTTTGACATAGCAAGAGGAAAAAAACCCCAGAAAACTAGGTGTTCCTTTTAAAGTTCGTTACCTACCATTCTAAATTAATCTAATTGCTGCCTGATTATTACCCCACTGTTTGGAGTTAGGTGACCTTCCTTTTGTTCCTTGTCACATGCGGAATTTTTCCCATTAGTTGTTGGGAAGCCTGGTTGCTGATATTTAGTGAGTGCTGGAGAAAGACAATGAGTTTGGCAGGGCCCAGGGGGAAAGTGGGTCAGGTAAAAGTGAGGGTAGGGGCAACTACGGGGGGGTTGGTTTCTTCAGCTTCAGAGCAGGACAGGTGCTTCGAGTGGTTCTTACTAGGAAAAGGGAATTTGCCATAAACCAGATGCAGCTGCTATTGCTTTTCCTTCCTTCCTTCCTTCCTTCCTT